CTAATGCTAACACAGACTGTATACTGATGCTAATGCTAACACAGACTGTATACAGATGCTAATGCTAACACAGACTGTATACAGATGCTAATGCTAACACAGACTGTATACAGATGCTAATGCTAACACAGACTGTATACAGATGCTAATGCTAACACAGACTGTATACAGATGCTAATGCTAACACAGACTGTATACAGATGCTAATGCTAACACAGACTGTATACAGATGCTAATGCTAACACAGACTGTATACAGATGCTAATGCTAACACAGACTGTATACAGATGCTAATGCTAACACAGACTGTATACAGATGCTAATGCTAACACAGACTGTATACAGATGCTAATGCTAACACAGACTGTATACTGATGCTAATGCTAACACAGACTGTATACTGATGCTAATGCTAACACAGACTGTATACTGATGCTAATGCTAACACAGACTGTATACGATGCTAATGCTAACACAGACTGATACTGATGCTAATGCTAACACAGACTGTATACTGATGCTAATGCTAACACAGACTGTATACTGATGCTAATGCTAACACAGATGTATGCTATAATGATGCTAATGCTAACACAGACTGTATACAGATGCTAATGCTAACACAGACTGTATACAGATGCTAATGCTAACACAGACTGTATACTGATGCTAATGCTAACACAGACTGTATACAGATGCTAATGCTAACACAGACTGTATACTGATGCTAATGCTAACACAGACTGTATACAGATGCTAATGCTAACACAGACTGTATACAGATGCTAATGCTAACACAGACTGTATACAGATGCTAATGCTAACACAGACTGTATACAGATGCTAATGCTAACACAGACTGTATACAGATGCTAATGCTAACACAGACTGTATACAGATGCTAATGCTAACACAGACTGTTTACTGATGCTAATGCTAACACAGACTGTATACTGATGCTAATGCTAACACAGACTGTATACTGATGCTAATGCTAACATACACTGTATACTGATGGTCTGCACTAGATCATAAACAGAATCGGGACAAAACCGGAAGTAACAATCCTACTTTTCAATTCGTTTTAGACTAATAAGTCCTTAAGTGGTGACTGGTTAAGTTTTAGGCGTCTGAGTAAGATGGTTAAGGTTAGGGTTAAAGACCTTATGACGGGTTTGATTTATTTAGAAATACAGTTTTAATACCATTTTATATTAGAAGAGAACTACTAAAGGTTTCAAAATCAGTTGTTGTTTTTTTTGTCTGATCCCCCCAAATCGAAATAACCCCATAGCAACGCCCTTAGAAACGAAAAAACTTCACAGCCCTTGGTGACGTCAGAGTGGGTACGTTTCAACGCTGTAAGTTGTTTACAATTTGGTATTCGTTCTTTTTTCACGGATATTCAAGATGACAAGGCCGTGTACAGCGAGTATGAGATTAGTACTACATTATAATATTTTGTTGTCACTGATATAGTCCAGTGGTTGTGTCGATGCACTGCCAATCCATATACTTGGGTTCAAATCCCACCTCAGACACTTTTTCACTCTCAAAACGGCAATTTATGTGTAGTGAGCAATTGTCACCTGTAGAGGGCAGTATTGTGTTGGGCATCAGTGGAGAGAAGAGAGAAAAGGCAGTCCTGTGGCATAGATCCATGGTTTTCAATGCATGGGCGTAACCCGCTGTGACGTCACACACAGGTTAGAGCATAGACAGCTTAAATTCATGAAAAACACGTTCTTTTTATAAAATATAGGATTTTTTTTGCCGGAATCTCTTTCAAATTGACATTGTCATGCAATTTTGATATCCACTATTTTTTTTTTAAACCCGTCATAAGGTCTTTAAGGTGGTCTGAGTAAGATGGTTTAGGTTAGGTAAGTAAGTAAGTAATCTTTATTTATACACCGCCTTTCACAGATCTGAGTCTCAAAGCGGTTTACAATTGTTATTATTGGGCACTTGTCTCTCACTCCACACAGAGATGGGAGCGGGGCCAGTACAGGAGGCGGATGCCAGAACTATTGTACATGTTTTTAGTGGTAGGGGAAACCGGAGTACCCGGAGGAAACCCAAGTAGACACGGGGAGAACATGCAAACTCCACTCAGAAAGGCCCTGGTCCGACTGGGATTCGAACCCAGGACCTTCTTTCGGAGAGGTGAGAGTGCTATCCACTCAGCCACCGTGCCGCCTGGTACTGAGTTTATAGTAAGTAAGTAAGTAATCTTTATATAAATAAAGATTGCTTACTTACTATACACTCATACAAAAAAATAAATAAAATAAAATATATATATATATATATATACAATTTTTTTTATAATAATAAGGTATACATACTTATACATACACATACATATATACCCACACATGTATACACAAAAAACACCCAATACCTAATGGGTAGGCCTGTAGACAAACTTACACCCCTCATACACACACACTCACACATACACACACACACACACACACACACACACAGACACACACACACACACACACACAGACACACACATACACGTTTTTGTTACCTGGTGGGTCCCTTTGACAGGGCCGTTCAGAATGGGACCCATAGACATAATCTTTTTTTACCAAGACTTTAAGTAATACAAAACAGTCAATAGAAACCAAACAACTATTTTAAAGGAATTTTATTTTTGATTTTGTTTTCGAATTGCAGTGATTCTATTTTTGACATAGAATTTAATGCCACTCCATGTCCGATGTCTAAGGTCATCTGGTGAGGCATTAATGCAGGCCAGGCAGTGAGACTTCCCAGGGACCTTTCCAGTCTGTATGAAAGGTGTCATGGTCTTCTCCACAGCCTTCACCTCAGATGCAGACCATGGCTTTCTCTAACGTTCTAGGGAGAGAAATAAAAATATATTAGCAATATACACTCCCAGGGTGAGGACCAAGCAGCCTGGCTGTAATCCCCCACCTGGTACACTTACCAGAAGGGGCACTGCCACTACCATGGGGTGCATCTGGATGAATGGTTGAAGGTTCTCCGCTTGAAGTTTCTTTTAGCCCGTCCGTTTGTGAGAGGATCTCTACTGCTCTCCCTGTCGCACAGAAAATAAAAATACAAGTGGCCTTTAGGGGAAAAAAATCATACATATTTTAATAATATCAAGAATTACCTTCAGGCTCAATTTGTATCTGGTCGAGGCTCTTTCCTTCGAATTCCGTCACTCTTCCCTGCTCCATGGCCATCAACACTTTGCTGATTTTGGCCAGCTCCAGTGTCCCCTCTGGTAGTCTGTAATATTGCCTGTGGATGCGAATGTCATGGCCGAGGAAGTTGGCAAGTATGTCCATCTCATTCTCTTTCATATTGAGAACTGTAGACATAGTAGCTATGTGCTTTCTAAGTTTGGTTGAGGATAGCATCTCTGGATGCACCGCACCACATTCTTTGGCTACCTGGCGTAGGGAGTCTGATCCCCTGATGTGGGTGTCTGCGCCCGGGCGGGAAAAGAAGTATGGGTTATTGTCAGAGATGGAACAGGCCCTTCTGTTCTCCACCAGCACCTCCATCGAAGCAATCATTTCAGGAGTCAAAAGAACCGGCACTTTCCGACTTCTTTTCCCTTTAATTTCAATGCGTTGAAAATGCTGACACAGCTTTTTCTCAAGTTGGGACAGTCCCAGAGCAATGTCAGAATGGATCCCAGTCTTACTTCTTAAGGTAAAGGCTGTCAGTGGCATCTTTGAAACCTCACCTTCCCTTCTTCGATTGAAAATGATGACCTCACAAAGAGTCAAAACTGCCAGTTTAGACCAATGCTTAGACGTTGGCTCACTTATTAGGGTTTGCACATATTCAGGTCGACATACCTCAATATGTGCATGCATGGCTCTAACGTCCTCAGTCAGAGGGAGCAGGTCCGGAGTGTTCCACTTGGCTTGCCGGAGGGTCTGTAGGGCAGCAGAAGAAACACAGACGTCCCACCTCTTCTCAAAAAGCAGCCGGCTTCGTTGGAGGTTTTTAATAAATAGTTCATCAACACAATGCTCCATTTTTGAGTCACATTCAAGAATATCTGCTAGCTTTCTGAGGCTATGGCCGAGTTTGAGGGCCAAGGATGGAGTCTTGTATTGATTTGTTTCCTCATCATATCCAGCCACAGACCTGACTGCATCAATCACATGGTTAAAGTTGGAAGGAATAAAGAAATCCTTAATTGTTTTCAGTTTCCCTGCAGTTTTTGCTTCGTTAATTAACCTACCGACTTCTCTCATTTTCTGCCTAATGTAATCATGCTTAGTCTTATCATGCCCGTGTTTTAAGTACAGGTGCTCTCCGAGTCTCAGAATCCCCTTTTCTGCTTTGACAACACCCGTGACCTCATCCTGATGCATTGCCCAAATTAAAGACCACAGCTTTTTGCTGATGCCCTCCGGTACAGGCTGGGCTAGGGAGCAGAGGGACTGGACCCTACTTCTACCTGGTTTAGCCTGGTTTAGCCTGGGCATCTTTCTGTGAAAGCCGGCACCTGGCCACATGCCTCCACAGCCACTTTCGCTTAAGCAATGCCCCACAGTCTATACAGTGCAAAAACTCACTGGATTTAACTGGGCAATTTGGCTGTTTAGCTGGGACTAAAGTTCCAATGCCGGCCTTTAAAACCTCAACATTGTGCTCACGGTTTCCACTATTCCTGATCAAATCAAACTGAAGTTTACGTGCTTTAGATTTCACAGGTAGAGCCAATGCTCTGGCTACGTCACTTTCATTTCCATGTTTTCTAGTCAAATGACGGGACATTTTGTGGCAGGACATTGAACAGTAGAGGCAGAAGTGTCTCTTGCTGTAAACCCTGCCCCCATTTTTCTTCTTTTGCAGCTGCATGATAACAATCTTATTTGCCTTCGGTTCGTCACTTTCCGAGTCTTGAAGAAAAGTGTTTTTGATTTTTCTTTTTCCATACTTTTTTACAGGTTTCTTCTTGACAGTTAAATCGTCAGAATCTGAGTCGACTTCATCAATTAGGGACTCTTGACTAAGCTGCACAAACAACAAATAATTTGTAATCATTCTATATAACAATTTGAAGTCATGACTTGTAGTAGTCAGCACTTACCAGTGGTTTGTAAGCGTGCGCTTCAGTGTGCTGCTCTGTGATTGGCTGCAGCCTAATGAACCACACACTTGCACCTTTTCTAGCCTGACACCTGATTTCCTCTGTTGTGCTGCTCCATGATTGGCTCCAGCCTCTGTTGTGCTGCTCCATGATTGGCTCCAGCCTGCTGGACTGAAATTGCCCCAGTGTGCCCCTCCTTGATATCCCGCAACCCACCACCAGGGTTCCGACACATAACACACTTTTTTCAGGAAAGTAAACCTCCAGGGGTCCTTTCCATATTTTTACAGAGACTGCATAAGGACCGTTAGAAAAGCATTACCCATTGATTATTAAGCTTGGACCAGTGGGGTCCGGTGTTCGGGCCCCACCACGTAAAACCAGTCCCCATGACGTGAGTGGAATCTCAGGTTATGGAACCCACCAGGAGTTGAAAACAAGTGCACACACACACACACACACCCTTGCCCTTGCATATATAGTATAGCATCATTCCATGGGCATCTGTAGTTGTGTGCTTCAGTCTCTGCACATCAACATGAGCCATCATCCCAACACGTACATTTCATTTATGGTTTTCACACTCCAAATATACTTTCAGTTCATAGCTCCTGGGAGCGTCTCACTCAGAATTAAAAGTCCAAACGTACCGTTCTATGACTTTATGTAATTCAAGAGCGGATTCCAGCAGAGCTCCTATTTGTGTTTGTTCCCCGCAGATCTGTGTTTTTCCATGTGAATGATGTTCCAACGGCTCATTCAGCCATTTTCTGAAGGATGGTGCTCCTGGACTTTTCCACTCTGTAAGAATGAGTCTTTTTGCTACAATTGTTCCCAGTTGTAGCGCACTCCATAGGTGTTGGGGAGCTTGTCTACCTCTGAGGAATGTCCGAAAATGGCTCTGTCCAATATCAGATCTGTGCTGTAGATTCCAAAAAAAAGTAAACAATACTTGACCAAAATTGTAGCATTACACGACACTCCCAGAAAGAATGGACAAGTGACCCTTCAGCTATGTTACACTTGTCACACATGGGGGACACACCAGGGTCACTTTTATGCAGGGAAACCTTGCAGTAGTAGAAACAATGGTCTCTCTTTGATCTCTCTCTTTAGTCTCTCTGGTGTCCCTGGTTTCTTTCTGGTCTCCTTCTCTCTTTTCTCTCTCTCTGGTCTCTCTCTGGTATATCTCTGGTCTCTCTCTTTCTCTGGTCTCTCTCTTGTCTCTCTCTGATCTGTCTCTGGTCTCTCTCTTTCTCTGGTCTCTCTCTTGTCTCTCTCGCTGGTCTCTCCCTCTGGTCTCTCCCTCTGTTCTCTCTTTCTGATCTCTCTCTGGTCTCTCTCATATAGTATGGACAGCGGCATTAGCATTAGCCTTTTTATTTTAGTATTTTAAAGCAGAGAGTGTGTGAGTTGTCTAAGTTTATTCAGAATCCATCCGGACGAAGAGTTTCTCCAGATTCTGCGTCTTCGTCGTTTGATCTGCACCGTCTCAGCAGCGGCGCCAGAAAACCTAATCAAACGAGAAATATTGGTGGAGAAGTTTTTGAAGCCCATGTAATCAGGAAACAAAAACAGATCAGGATTCGGAGGTGGAATAATTGATTTGGAAGAAACGTACGTGTCCAATAAATACATTACATTTTAAATCTCTGAAGTTGCACTGATTAAAAACAAGAGATAATCTTGTCTTATCCTCTTCTTCTAAATAACTAAAGGAAACCAGGGCAGACACGGGGAGAACATGCAAACTCCACTCAGAAAAGGCCTGTTCTGACTGGGATTCAAACCCATGGACTCAGAGACTTTTATTCTTGACAAACACTGTCCGACTCTGCTCTCTTTTCCTCTCTCTGGTCTCTCTCTGTCTCTCTCTGGTCTCTCTCTCTGTCTCTCTCTTGTCTCTCTCTGGTCTCTCTCTGGTCTCTCTCTGTCTCTCCGGTCTCTCTCTGGTCTCTCTCTGTCTCTCTGGTCTCTCTCTGTCTCTCTGGTCTCTCTCTGGTCTCTCTCTGTCTCTCTCTGTCTCTCTCTGTCTCTCTCTGTCTCTATGGTCTCTCTCTGGTCTCTCTCTGGTCTCTCTCTGGTCTCTCTCTGTCTCTCTGGTCTCTCTCTGTCTCTCTCTGTCTCTCTGGTCTCTCTCTGGTCTCTCTCTGGTCTCTCTCTGTCTCTCTGGTCTCTCTCTGGTCTCTCTCTCGGGTCTCTCTCTGGTCTCTCTCTCTGGTCTCTTTCTAGTCTCTCTCATGGTCTCTTTCTAGTCTCTCTCTGCTCTCTCTCTGGTCTCTCTTCTCTCTCTCTCTATCCCCATCTCTCACCAGAGGGACGCAGACCTAAAACCCGTCCCACAGCAAACCCCTTTCGGACCGAACACCCGTACTTTAGCGTCAGTAAGACCTGATCTTCGTTCCTAGAAGAGTTAAAGAATTGGAATCCGTGAACAGACTTTTCCTCCGTCTGAACCGGGACCTGGGGGCCCTCCTGCTGCCGCGCCCCGGCACTGTACACACTTCATATTTAACACCTTCATCAGATCTGCCATCGTCTTCATCGGCAACTTTGACTCTGGCTGCTACTCGCATCAGAAAGGCCACGGAAACATCAAAGGAACGGTGCCGAGCGGGAAATTCATGAAAGAAAGTGATGTTTTAGAGATTTGACAAAGGAACGATAAAAACGTCTTGTTTTAGTCACGACGTGACCGAAACATCGTGACATCGTCTTGGAATCAATAAATTAACACAAAAAACCCAGGACTGAGGCTGTAGACCCAGGACTGAGGCTGTAGACCCAGGACTGAGGCTGTAGACCCAGGACTGAGGCTGTAGACCCAGGACTGAGGCTGTAGACCCAGGACTGAGGCTGTAGACCCAGGACTGAGGCTGTGGACCCAGGACTGAGGCTGTAGATCCAGGACTGAGGCTGTAGACCCAGGACTGAGGCTGTAGACCCAGGACTGAGGCTGTAGACCCAGGACTGAGACTGTAGATCCAGGACTGAGGCTGTAGACCCAGGACTGAGGCTGTAGACCCAGGACTGAGGCTGTAGACCCAGGACTGAGGCTGTAGACCCAGGACTGAGGCTGTGGACCCAGGACTGAGGCTGTAGATCCAGGACTGAGGCTGTAGACCCAGGACTGAGGCTGTAGATCCAGGACTGAGGCTGTAGACCCAGGACTGAGGCTGTAGACCCAGGACTGAGGCTGTAGATCCAGGACTGAGGCTGTAGACCCAGGACTGAGGCTGTGGACCCAGGACTGAGGCTGTAGACCCACTGTGTGTGTGTGTGTGTGTGTGTGTGTGTGTGTGTGCTCCTCTTGTTGTGTGTCCCTGTGTGTTTGTGTGTATTTTTGTGTTTAAATATTTGTCTCATTCAAAGCCTTAAAATACCGTGTACAGAAGCAGTAATGTGTTGTCTGTCTCCGCGGTGATGTCAGAATAAAAACATTTGTGGATTCCTGAACATCCGACCTCAGAGCAGCAGGAAGTTCACGGGTACAGTAAGTAAATAAGTTGCTGATTGTTCTCACAGATGATTAGTAAAGCCTTTGAAGTGGAGGCTCTCTGTTCCCGGCGCTCCCTCCGCTCCCTTCACTCCCACATTAGCATTCATTAGACTTGCATATTATGGAAACGCTGTTATTCAATTATTAACACGAGCCGCGGTCTCGGAATCGCGGAAGTCGCCACACGTGGATTCACCTCAAACATCACCAGAAAGTTGGAAAAATGAAGCAGAAAGTTGAGGAAAACCATGTGGAGCTAGTGCTGAGTCTGCGTTTTCTGGTGAGAAGCTGCCGATGGTTGGAGCCGGTGTGACGCAATAGACTTTTACAGACTGCAGGAGACGTGTTTACAGATGGAAGGTAAAAATACAATACATTATTATTATTATTATTATTAGTATTATTATTATCATTATTATTATTATCATTATTATTATTATCATTATTATTATTATTATTTTTACTATACATCCAAAGGGAGATGATCTGTCTATATGTAGTATATTAGTGTTTAACATTAGTTAGTTTCCTGGCAGAGAGACCAGAGAGACCAGAGAGAGACCAGAGAGAGACCAGAGAGAGACCAGAGAGAGACCAGAGAGAGACCAGAGAGAGACCAGAGAGAGACCAGAGAGAGACCAGAGAGAGAGACAAAAAATACAAAATAACTCAACCCAAGTTAAGTCAGAGACATGTTTAATAACCACACACAGGTACATTGCATGGAGCACAGGTACATTACATAAACCACAGGTACATTACATAAACCACAGGTACATTACATTGATCACAGGTACATTACATAAACCACAGGTACATTACATTGATCACAGGTACATTACATTGATCACAGGTACATTACATAAACCACAGGTACATTACATTGATCACAGGTACATTACATTGATCACAGGTACATTACATTGATCACAGGTACATTACATTGAGCATAGGTACATTACATTGATCACAGGTACATTACATTGATCACAGGTACATTACATAAACCACAGGTACATTACATTGATCACAGGTACATTACATTGATCACAGGTACATTACATTGAGCATAGGTACATTACATGGAGCACAGGTACATCACATGGAGCACAGGTACATTACATGGATCACAGGTACATTACATTGAGCACAGGTACATTACATGGAGCACAGGTGTTTGCTGTGTTGGAGGTTGGAGCTGTCCAAGGTCCTGGTTTGGCGCAGACTGGTTTGGCGCAGACTTACACCGGTGTCAGTTTTTTGGCGCAGACATATCTCAGAGAATAGTATTCTGGGTAATCGCCCCAATTCTTTGCTGAGAAGAAACATCACAGAGAATAACACATTAGGGGTGTGTGTGTGTGTGTGTGTGTGTGTGTGTGTGTGTGTGTGTGTGCACTTGTTTTCAACTCCTGGTGGGTTCCATAACCTGAGATTCCACTCACGTCATGGGGACTGGTTTTACGTGGTGGGGCCCGAACACCGGACCCCACTGGTCCAAGCTTAATAATCAATGGGTAATGCTTTTCTAACGGTCCTTATGCAGTCTCTGTAAAAATATGGAAAGGACCCCTGGAGGTTTACTTTCCTGAAAAAAGTGTGTTATGTGTCGGAACCCTGGTGGTGGGTTGCGGGATATCAAGGAGGGGCACACTGGGGCAATTTCAGTCCAGCAGGCTGGAGCCAATCATGGAGCAGCACAACAGAGGAAATCAGGTGTCAGGCTAGAAAAAGGTGCAAGTGTGTGGTTCATTAGGCTGCAAGAAATCATGGAGGAGCACACTGAAGCGCACGCTTACAAACCACTGGTAAGTGCTGACTACAAGTCATGACTTCAAATTGTTATATAGAATGATTACAAATTATTTGTTGTTTGTGCAGCTTAGTCAAGAGTCCCTAATTGATGAAGTCGACTCAGATTCTGACGATTTAACTGTCAAGAAGAAACCTGTAAAAAAGTATGGAAAAAGAAAAATCAAAAACACTTTTCTTCAAGACTCGGAAAGTGACGAACCAAAGGCAAATAAGATTGTTATCATGCAGCTGCAAAAGAAGAAAAATGGGGGGCGAGTATACAGCAAGAGACACTTCTGCCTCTACTGTTCAATGTCCTGCCACAAAATGTCCCGTCATTTGACTAGAAAACATGGAAATGAAAGTGACGTAGCCAGAGCATTGGCTCTACCTGTGAAATCTAAAGCACGTAAACTTCAGTTTGATTTGATCAGGAATAGTGGAAACCGTGAGCACAATTTTGAGGTTTTAAAGGCCGGCATTGGAACTTTAGTCCCAGCTAAACAGCCAAATTGCCCAGTTAAATCCAGTGAGTTTTTGCACTGTATAGACTGTGGGGCATTGCTTAAGCGAAAGTGGCTGTGGAGGCATGTGGCCAGGTGCCGGCTTTCACAGAAAGATGCCCAGGCTAAACCAGGTAGAAGTAGGGTCCAGTCCCTCTGCTCCCTAGCCCAGCCTGTACCGGAGGGCATCAGCAAAAAGCTGTGGTCTTTAATTTCGGCAATGCATCAGGATGAGGTCACGGGTGTTGTCAAAGCAGAAAAGGGGATTCTGAGACTCGGAGAGCACCTGTACTTAAAACACGGGCATGATAAGACAAAGCATGATTACATTAGGCAGAAAATGAGAGAAGTCGGTAGGTTAATTAACGAAGCAAAAACCGCAGGGAAACTGAAAACAATTAAGGATTTCTTTATTCCTTCCAACTTTAACCATGTGATTGATGCAGTCAGGTCTGTGGCTGGATATGATGAGGAAACAAATCAATACAAGACTCCATCCTTGGCCCTCAAACTCGGCCATAGCCTCAGAAAGCTAGCAGATATTCTTGAATGTGACTCAAAAATGGAGCATTGTGTTGATGAACTATTTATTAAAAACCTCCAACGAAGCCGGCTGCTTTTTGAGAAGAGGTGGGACGTCTGTGTTTCTTCTGCTGCCCTACAGACCCTCCGGCAAGCCAAGTGGAACACTCCGGACCTGCTCCCTCTGACTGAGGACGTTAGAGCCATGCATGCACATATTGAGGTATGTCGACCTGAATATGTGCAAACCCTAAATGAGCCAACGTCTAAGCATTGGTCTAAACTGGCAGTTTTGACTCTTTGTGAGGTCATCATTTTCAATCGAAGAAGGGAAGGTGAGGTTTCAAAGATGCCACTGACAGCCTTTACCTTAAGAAGTAAGACTGGGATCCATTCTGACATTGCTCTGGGACTGTCCCAACTTGAGAAAAAGCTGTGTCAGCATTTTCAACGCATTGAAATTAAAGGGAAAAGAAGTCGGAAAGTGCCGGTTCTTTTGACTCCTGAAATGATTGCTTCGATGGAGGTGCTGGTGGAGAACAGAAGGGCCTGTTCCATCTCTGACCATAACCCATACTTCTTTTCCCGCCCGGGCGCAGACACCCACATCAGGGGATCAGACTCCCTACGCCAGGTAGCCAAAGAATGTGGTGCGGTGCATCCAGAGATGCTATCCCAACCAAACTTAGAAAGCACATAGCTACTATGTCTACAGTTCTCAATATGAAAGAGAATGAGATGGACATACTTGCCAACTTCCTCGGCCATGACATTCGCATCCACAGGCAATATTACAGACTACCAGAGGGGACACTGGAGCTGGCCAAAATCAGCAAAGTGTTGATGGCCATGGAGCAGGGAAGAGTGACGGAATTCGAAGGAAAGAGCCTCGACCAGATACAAATTGAGCCTGAAGGTAATTCTTGATATTATTAAAATATGTATGATTTTTTTCCCCTAAAGGCCACTTGTATTTTTATTTTCTGTGCGACAGGGAGAGCAGTAGAGATCCTCTCACAAACGGACGGGCTAAAAGAAACTTCAAGCGGAGAACCTTCAACCATTCATCCAGATGCACCCCATGGTAGTGGCAGTGCCCCTTCTGGTAAGTGTACCAGGTGGGGGATTACAGCCAGGCTGCTTGGTCCTCACCCTGGGAGTGTATATTGCTAATATATTTTTATTTCTCTCCCTAGAACGTGTAAGAAAGCCATGGTCTGCATCTGAGGTGAAGGCTGTGGAGAAGACCATGACACCTTTCATACAGACTGGAAAGGTCCCTGGGAAGTCTCACTGCCTGGCCTGCATTAATGCCTCACCAGATGACCTTAGACATCGGACATGGAGTGGCATTAAATTCTATGTCAAAAATAGAATCACTGCAATTCGAAAACAAAATCTAAAATAAAATTCCTTTAAAATAGTTGTTTGGTTTCTATTGACTGTTTTGTATTACTTAAAGTCTTGGTAAAAAAAGATTATGTCTATGGGTCCCATTCTGAACGGCCCTGTCAAAGGGACCCACCAGGTAACAAAAACGTGTATGTGTGTGTGTGTGTGTGTGTGTGTGTGTGTGTGTGTGTGTGTGTGTGTGTGTGTGTGTGTGTGTGTGTGTGTGTGTGTGTGTGTGTGCGTGCGTGCGTGCGTGCGTGCGTGCGTGCGTGCGCGCGCGTGCGTGTGTGTGATAAGAGAGAGACCAGAGAGAGACCACAGAGACACCACAGAGAGACCACAGAGAGACCAGAGAGAGACCAGAGAGAGACCACAGAGACACCACAGAGAGACCACAGAGAGACCAGAGAGAGACCAGAGAGAGACCACAGAGACACCACAGAGAGACCACAGAGAGACCAGAGAGAGACCAGAGAGAGACCACAGAGACACCAGAGAGAGATCACAGAGAGACCAGAGAGAGACCAGAGCAAATAGTATAAAATAGTAATAAACGTTTACGATTGTTTGTGGAAAGGCGCAGGTGAATAATTACAGATTTAAAGCTTGTGATGTCACTAAAGTAAGTCTCTTACCTCTCAAATGGTTGATGAAGAGGTGGTGTTCCCGGTTTCTATGGTTGTCTGGCTGACCAGGATACCATAGGTCAAAATCCCAGAGACTTCCATCGCTCCAAAACCATGTGGCATTCTGTGAACCAGTTTTTAGAAAGCCAGCTGAGAGACACAGACCAGGTCCTGGGTCTTCCTCTGGTCTCCTCCCGGTGACTGAGCTCCTCCCACTGTCTCCAAGGGAGTGTCCAGCCACTCTGCAGAGGAGATCGGGACCTGAACCCAGACCGGGACCTGAGCCCAGACCGGGACCTGAGCCCAGACCGGGACCTGAGCCCAGACCGGGACCTGAACCCAGACCGGGACATGAACCCAGACCGGGACATGAACCCAGACCGGGACATGAACCCAGACCGGGACATGAACACAGACCGGGACATGAGCCCAGACCGGGACATGAGCCCAGACCGGGACCTGAACCCAGACCGGGACATGAACCCAGACCGGGACCTGAGCCCAGACCGGGACATGAACACAGACCGGGACCTGAACCCAGACCGGGACCTGCCCTCAGTCTGGCTCTGTGGGTGCCTCACACAAATGTTATTTTAATAATTCAAAGTGTTTACCGTGTGCGTGTTCCTCCCTCCGAGCCACGTCATCGTGTTGTAACCAGTTTTCTCAACGATCAGTTGATATAAAAAATCATTCTCATCCAGACTGTGGACCGAGGCCAGGTGTGCCCCGAGGAGCTGGCAGGCGTCCTGTGGACACGGCACACATGCAGAACATGTAGAACATGCAGAACATGTAGAACATGCAGAACATTTAGAACATGCAGAACATGCAGAACATGCAGAACATGTAGAACATGTAGAACATGCAGAACATGTAGAACATGCAGAACATGCAGAACATGCAGAACATGTAGAACATGCAGAACATGCAGAACATGCAGAACATGTAGAACATGCAGAACATGCAGAACATGTAGAACATGTAGAACATGCAGAACATGTAGAACATGTAGAACATGTAGAACATGCAGAACATGCAGAACATGCAGAACATGTAGAACATGCAGAACATGCAGAACATGCAGAACATGTAGAACATGCAGAACATGCAGAACATGTAGAACATGCAGAACATGCAGAACATGCAGAACATGCAGAACATGCAGAACATGTAGAACATGCAGAACATGCAGAACATGTAGAACATGCAGAACATGCAGAACATGTAGAACATGTAGAACATGCAGAACATGCAGAACATGCAGAACATGCAGAACATGCAGAACATGTAGAACATGCAGAACATGCAGAACATGTAGAACATGCAGAACATGCAGAACATGCAGAACATGCAGAACATGCAGAACATGCAGAACATGCAGAACATGCAGAACATGCAGAACATGCAGAACATGTAGAACATGCAGAACATGCAGAACATGCAGAACATGCAGAACATGTAGAACATGTAGAACATGTAGAACATGCAGAACATGCAGAACATGTAGAACATGTAGAACATGCAGAACATGTAGAACATGCAGAACATGTAGAACATGCAGAACATGTAGAACATGCAGAACATGTAGAACATGTAGAACATGCAGAACATGTAGAACATGCAGAACATGTAGAACATGCAGAACATGTAGAACATGTAGAACATGCAGAACATGCAGAACATGTAGAACATGCAGAACATGTAGAACATGCAGAACATGTAGAACATGTAGAACATGCAGAACATGTAGAACATGCAGAACATGCAGAACATGTAGAACATGTAGAACATGTAGAACATGCAGAACATGTAGAACAGGCAGAACATGTAGAACATGTAGAACATGCAGAACATGTAGAACATGTAGAACATGCAGAACATGTAGAACATGCAGAACATGCAGAACATGTAGAACATGTAGAACATGCAGAACATGCAGAACATGTAGAACATATAGAACATGCAGAACATGTAGAACATGTAGAACATGCAGAACATGTAGAACATGTAGAACATGTAGAACATGCAGAACATGCAGAACATGTAGAACACGTAGAACACGTAGAACATGTAGAACATGCAGAACATGTAGAACATGCAGAACATGTAGAACATGTAGAACATGCAGAACATGTAGAACATGCTGAACATGTAGAACATGTAGAACATGCAGAACATGTAGAACATGCAGAACATGTAGAACATGTAGAACATGTAGAACATGCAGAACATGCAGAACATGTAGAACATGTAGAACATGCTGAACATGTAGAACATGCAGAACATGTAGAACATGCAGAACATGTAGAACATGCAGAACATGTAGAACATGCAGAACATGCAGAACATGTAGAACATGTAGAACATGCTGAACATGTAGAACATGTAGAACATGTAGAACATGTAGAACATGTAGAATATGTAGAACATGTAGAACATGTAGAACATGTAGAACATGCAGAACATGTAGAATATGTAGAACATGTAGAACATGTAGAACATGTAGAACATGTAGAACATGTCAGAGGGTTCTTTAGACGGTTTGAAGACGAGGTCAATGTTAAAAACTAAACTGTAACAACAGTGCAACAAAGACTGGACTTTCTCTGTTTGGACGTCCTGTTACTAACTGTTTCTATGGTTCTATCCCAGAGGTCTCTGATGGTGTTCTGATGGTCCTAGAGGTTTTTGATGGTGCTCTGATGGTCCTAGAGGTCTCTTATGGTCCTAGAGGTCTCTGATGATTCTCTGATGGTCCTAAAGGTCTCTGATGGTCCTAGAGGTCTCTTATGGTCCTAGAGGTCTCTGATGGTGTTCTGATGGTCCTAGAGGTCTCTGAAGGTCCTCTGATGGTCCTAGAGGTCTCTGATGGTCCCAGAGGTCTCTGATGTTCCCCCCTGCTGGAGAGCCCCCCCCAACTTATGTTCTTCATCTCTCTGTGAGTCGCTCATTTTGGACATTTTTGAGCCAGGACCCGCCCCTAATGGTTCAGACCCAGTTTAATGAAATCATATGTTCTCTCTCCTCTCACCTCTGCACCCGTCCAGGAGGATTTCCGATCAAAGAACTGATAACAGTGAGACTCAAACTTACTCCAGTCGTCCTCACAGGCTGCGGCACAGAGGAGAGACCACACACTTCATCATGAATACACGTCACTAACTCAGACTTAGACTTTTAGATCCACAGAGAAATTGTGTTGTTACAGTAGCAACAATAAAAATAACATTAAAGTAACAACCTGAAAATAAGAATAATAAAAAGATTATATTTTGAGAGTAGAATAATCTGGATATAGGTGCTCAGTAATAAACATATCTGTGACACATTTCGAGTCTAAAATACAGAGATAGTAACTTACTTGGGTCAAATGCACACGCCTGAGAAGAGAAAAGATGTTTAATATAAATACGTCCATGTCCAGAAGAAGAGCGTGTCCAATACTTACAGCTCGTCCAGTCCCCAGCGAGACAGAGGCCAAGAGCAGAGCGAGGAGGGCAGCAGCCATCTGAGGCACATGAACGTGTGAGGAGTTTGTCAAAGGTTAAATATAATGTAGACTTACCTCTGGAGATGTGTGGAGTCGCTGTGGCTTTGGGAGAAGGAGAAACACATTTATACACTTAGGACCAAGGAGGAGCAGAGGGTTCAAAGAGACAGGTTTGACTCGTTTCTCTGGGAAATGCCTTAAAACAAGCTCTGCCTGTTGACATTTTTTTTGGCTTTGCCTTTTAAAAATATATCTAGTGTAACCTGAAATATTCTTCTCAAAAAAAAAACACAATAAATACATAAAATAAAAAATGAAATGTGTGAGAGAAACAGAACTCAGTCTGGGAGGATTTGGATGAAAGTTGTGGTCGAGTGAACATTTTGTTTGTTGATGTAAATCCCCGTCTGGATGTTTTTTAAAAGAATGGAGCTGCCTCTAAGCAGAGGTTTGCACTCCACGAGAGTCTTTACAGTTTTAGTGTTTTGCCGTAGACTGAGGCCCTGTTCAGACGGAGACGCTGTGCAGACGATACAAAGCCATGAACAGAAACGACCGGCTCCTTTTGCAAATACTCAGCGTTCAAACAACGATGAAACATGATGTAGTTCTAGCTTGTGGCCAGTAGGGGGCAGAGGAACTTTACAACACGCCACACGCGACCCCCAGCCCCCCCACAGTATGCTCACTTCCTCATCAACATCATCCTCAGGCCAGAGACGGGAAAGAACCAACATCATTCTGTAACAGCAGCAGCGAAAATGGAAACAGCTGTGGTTTGGTTTGGACGAAGGAGTAGAATCCTCCTCCGTTAGCAAGGCACATGTAGCTAGTTAGCAAGGCACATGTAGCTAGTTAGCAAGGAACATGTAGCTAGTTAGCGAAGCACATGTAGCTAGTTAGCAAGGCACATGTAGCTAGTTAGGGAAGCACATGTAGCTAGTTAGCGAAGCACATGTAGCTAGATAGCGAAGCACATATAGCTAGTTAGCGAAGCACATGTAGCTAGTTAGCGAAGCACATGTAGCTAGTTAGCGTACCCGCCGCCATTGATGTTTACGTTTGTTAGAGCAGAGATTCCACATCTTTTTCTTTTTCAAATTATAAACGGGAAGTTTATCATTTGTGAAATTATAAACTTCCCGTCTCTGCTGATGGCACTGATAACCACTCCCCCAGTCTGTGGACCAGTCCTCTGGATCCAGACCAGACCTGGTTTCACCTGAAAACCTGCTTTCTCCTCAAAACTGGATCAACAGGGACGACATTTTTTCTGTAATTTCAGGTTTTCTTTTACCCTGGATTAGAAGGAGACGCCGAGGCTCCCACAGTCTGACTCTGATCCTTCTCACAGAATGATTTTGGATCCATTTTTGGTAAAATCTCAAAGAAAAAAAAACAGTAACGAGCACTAACTGTGGTCAGTATAAAGTATTAGTACAGTATAGCACAGTGTAGTATAGTACAGTACAGTGTAGTACAGTACAGTGTAGTATAGTACAGTACAGTATAGTACAGTACAGTATAGTACAGTATAGTGTAGTATAGCACAGTGTAGTATAGTACAGTACAGTGTAGTACAGTACAGTATAGTACAGTATAGTGTAGTATAGCACAGTGTAGTATAGTACAGTACAGTATAGTACAGTACAGTATAGTACAGTATAGTGTAGTATAGCACAGTGTAGTGTAGTACAGTACAGTGTAGTATAGTACAGTGTAGTATAGTATAGTACAGTGTAGTATAGTACAGTGTAGTATAGTACAGTACAGTGTAGTACAGTATAGTGTAGTATAGCACAGTGTAGTGTAGTACAGTACAGTGTAGTATAGTACAGTGTAGTATAGTATAGTACAGTGTAGTACAGTACAGTACAGTATAGTACAGTATAGTATAGTATAGTACAGTGTAGTACAGTACAGTATAGTACAGTATAGTATAGTATAGTACAGTACAGTATAGTACAGTACAGTATAGTACAGTATAGTATAGTATATTATTACACGCTCCTCACAGCAGCAGTAGAATGCTCCAATTGAAATGTTTTGAAATGTAATTACAAAACATTCTACCGAACCTCTCAAAACATTAATGACCGCTGCCCTTTGGCAACGCACTCTCTGCTTGTCTTTCAGATGTGTAGATTACTCCGCAAGTAGTTCCGGCCACTCCGGAGCTAGCCACGCTCAATAAACGCAAATACCAATCAATCAACGCAATTAAATGTTAATCGGAGAATACATTATACATATACATTATTAACACAAGTGCACGGAAGTTTTCAGAATTTTACGTTTACGTTTTCATGACAAAAACACTGATGTAATGCGAGAAAAGGCGATCCCGAAAAACCCGGAAGTAGATACGGCACATTTTAGGAACATTTGCAGAGGATGGAATTATGGATTTAGGTTAAGTTTATGTTTGGGTCACTCACCGCTGATGTTCAGGATTCTGTGTTCAGTTTTCATGCAGTTCCAGAGAGTTCTAGTTTGGGAGTTACTAGCCTAACTGTTGCTAGCCTAACTGTTGCTAGCATAGCCACGGGAAAGCCTTTGGGAACTATTTTATTTTCTTTCTTATTTTAAATAAACCTTTTGGCATTCCTAAAAGTGGACTGAGGTTTGTGTTGTGTGTTCTATTGGTATAAAGCCGTATAATAAGCGGGATAACGTATATTACGCAGGTCATTATCGGAAAATAAGTACCTTCAGGGCGGAAGCGTCGGGGTCCGCTTCGTCCCGTCAGTACTTATTCTCCGATAATGACCTGCGTAATGGGCTAGACACGAGGGAGGCGACATCGCATCGCCTCCATTCATTTCAATGGGACGTGCGCGACATAGCGTCAATCGCTAGCGAGCCTCCTGCTCAGCGACGGGCGAAAAACGTGCGTGTGAAATCCTCCTGCTCGTGCATGTATCGTGCACGCGCAGGTCAGCGACGCGATCCCAGAAAGTTGAAATCGGCTCAACTTTTCGACGCTGTCGTCAAGCCGCATCGCCCCCGTCTGTCATGTTATCTGAGCGACAGCGTTGAGTTTCGCTGATCGCTCTCATTTGTCGCCTCCCGTGTGTCGAGCCCTTAATAACGGCTTATTAACCGAGCGCGAGGTCTGTATGGAGAAATATCAGACCGCGGCCTTAATGTACAGGTCTGATATTTCTCTGCACAGACCGAGCAAGCGAGGTTGATAAATGTTTTATTACATGACTCTTGTTCTGTGTCTTTACCAACGCTTTTGAGATATTTGTGAAGTATGTTCATGTCCGACTTGGTTTTGTGTGATACGCGCTGCGGACAGATTGTCATGGTAACGGTCCGAGGAAAGATATCAAATGTGATATGTGCTGTTCTGACCAATTGTCATGGTGTGGATTTTTATTTCTGTATTTGGTTTTATTTTGACATTAGTTATCTGGTTTCATTTTAGTTTTACTTCATGTCCTGTTCCCCTGTGTTGATTGTTTGCCCCGCCCTGATGTGTTTCACCTGTGTCTGTGTCTATATGTACCTGTGTCTATATGTACCTGTGTCTATATGTACCTGTGTCTATATGTACCTGTGTCTATATGTACCTGTGTCTGTATGTACCTGTGTCTATATGTACCTGTGTCTATATGTACCTGTGTCTGTATGTACCTGTGTCTATATGTACCTGTGTCTATATGTACCTGTGTCTATATGTACCTGTGTCTGTATGTACCTGTGTCTATATGTACCTGTGTCTGTATGTACCTGTGTCTATATGTACCTGTGTCTATATGTACCTGTGTCTGTATGTACCTGTGTCTGTATGTACCTGTGTCTGTATGTACCTGTGTCTATATGTACCTGTGTCTGTATATACCTGTGTCTATATGTACCTGTGTCTGTATGTACCTGTGTCTATATGTACCTGTGTCTACATGTACCTGTGTCTATATGTACCTGTGTCTATATGTACCTGTGTCTATATGTACCTGTGTCTGTATGTACCTGTGTCTGTATGTACCTGTGTCTGTATGTACCTGTGTCTATATGTACCTGT